GTCAGTTGAAAGAGCAGCTGCAGAGCGAACAAGAGGAACAGGTCCGTCGTTTGGAAGAGCAGCTGCGGGGCGGACAAGAGGAACAGGCCCGTCCGTTTGAGGAGCAGCTCAAACGCGATAAGAAAGAGCAGATGCTCCTCATGAAGGACATTCACGCTACCTTTGGGAAAGAGATAAGGGAGGTGAAGGATAAGGTTGCTCAACATGACAACCGCCTGTCGGAAGCTGAAACCCGAATCGACCAAGTGAACAATCGGGTTGACCACGTGATGGCTAACGTGAAGAAAACGCTCGACGACCTCAAACTGGAGGATGAAATTACAGCTCCAGTAGTAGCTACAACACCTTCGCTACGTGGGTTCAAAGTGCCGCCATTCGACGGGACTTCTTCCTGGTCGGCTTACAAAATCCAATTCGAAGCCGTTATGAAGGCGAACGGATAGATCCGACCTAAGATCGTCCATGTGGATCGCCTGGCGCGTTATTATGGGGCCGATAATGGTTGGGATGAGCATGTCTTAGGAGGGGGCAGTGTTGCGCGCCTAAGTTGACGTCTGGCACTAGCGCCATCTAGTGTCGGGTAACAGAGCGAGGAGAGCTTTCCAGAAAATGACATGACTTTTAACCAACAGCGCCATCTAGTATCGAATTGAAGAACTAAGCTTTCTAGAAGCCTCACACTCGAACTTTCTGCATCTCGTCGGTCGGCGCCCGCATCTACGGGAATATTCTGGATGTTTCGTTGTAAAAGTGTATTTAAACCCGCTGCATGCCGCGATCGGGGCAGTATTGAATTTGGCGAGACACGCGAGGCTTCGGAGCGAAATAAAGTGAATCAGTAAGATTAATTATTAGTGTTTTAAGTTTTAATTGGTGTTCGGTAATAAAAGTATAAATTTTGGTAATTCAATCGGCAGTTTTTACTGTCACGAACCTCAAGCTCGTAACACCTATAACCAGCGCGGAAGAGCTTGCAATATTTTGACTTAGTTTTACCGCAATCTGATTCAACGGTATGGCAGCGAATAAAATATAAACAAACATTAATTTTTAAAAATTAGATTCATTATTTTTCGTTAATCAATGGACGAACAAAGATTCCAGAATTAAACTTTTCATTTGATTTGGAAAGGGTTGACTAAACTGTTAGAAAACTTCAGCTTCGTTATCTAATGCTTTCACAAATTTTATTATCATCCCCGAGCTGATAATCAAGAAAAAGGGTCGGTAAAAGGACATTTACAGATATAAAATAAGGCTTCGTTCAATTTTCGGTTCCTTTTCTTTCGTTAAAGGAAAAGTTTTTTCTGTCCTCTTTTACTACCATAATTCGTAATAATAAAAATGTTATATTTCCTATATTGCTGTATACTAAGGTTATTGAATACTTGGAATTTGGCGTCCACTACTCCATATCATTTCATTGTATCCATCTAGGAGCGGCAAACATAGGGAAATAAACAGGTTATTGGTAAGAAAGTTAATCCGTGGTTGCCAGTCTACCTGCCTAGTGTAGCAACTGTGGCAAATATGTTATAATGAATGGAGCATGAGATCATCAATGGGCAAGGCTATATTCAGCAGTGATTTTTTTTTATTTATTTATTAGGTTCTCCAACAGTCATAACACAAAACATTACAGTAAAATAATACAAGTTCCAACATGTCTTAAGATAAGTGCATAACTACTTATAGGTGAACACATCGTTCGTTTAATAATAATAAGTTATCTCTATGTTAAAGAAAAATCATTAAATCTATTTTAAGTTTTTTTAACAAATTACAGAAGATATATTTTTTGTGACAAAGTCTCTGATCTGCTTACGAAAATGTTCAGAAGAATCAAAATTAAGATCTACCAATGTGCTGCATTCGTTGTAAAGTATACTCAATTCTAAGAACAGGAGAGAAATGACCAAGTTTAGTCCTACGCATTGGTGGATTCATAGGCTGAATAGGCTTTCTTGGAAGCCGAGAAGGTATTCTGTATGAAAAGGAATTTAGCAAAGGAGGACAGTCTATATTATTATGGAAAAGCTTGTATAGAAACATCAAATCCGAAATGTCACTTCTTGCTTCAAGTGGCAGTAACTTAAAAGTAAGAAGCCTACTTTTGTACGATTTAAGCGATCGAGCTTTATCTACAGAGAACGCTACGTGCCATAGAAACCTTTTCTGAACCCTTTCCAAGCGTTACGTATGTGTTGCGAAATGGGGCCTCCAAACAACATTGCAGTATTCCATAATGCTACGCACAAAACTGTTATAAAGAATCATCTTGGTCTTAACGGTCTTGAAAATCTTTGTATTGCGTATAATGAAAGCGAGCATTCCGGAAGCTTTTTTTATAATATGGTCGAAATGTGTTATAAATCTAAGCTTGTTATCTAGCAGCACGTCCAAATCACGATCACTGTCAACCTCTCGTAATTTAATACCATTGATTTGGTATGACGAATTTGTAATATTTTGTTTGCGCGTAAATTTTATATGTGTACACTTTTTCGCGTTAAGGACCATATTGTTTTCGTGACACCACCTTGTCAACTTATCCAAGTCTGCTTGCAGGAGATTCACATCATCCAATGGAATCGATTTCATGCAAAAGTTATATTTAGGCCGTCAGCATATAAAAAAGATTTAACATTATTAAGATTAAAAGAGACATCATTGACGAAGATGTTAAACAAAACAGGGCCGAGGTGCGAGCCTTGTGGCACTTGATGATATTTTATGGGAATTTTCGACAGGTAGAAAACTTTATACTTTATAATTAGTTTTGACAGTTATTAATTTAGTTGCTGCCAAGATGATATTCTACTCTTTCATTAACACGTGATGTTTTACAAACATTTACAAATATGTGCTGCGATTGCTTGGAATCGGTTCAACCGTTTTAATATGAGAAAAAATTCTACTCAAACGGACAGAAACATGGAGAATACAGTTTTATTGTAGCTGTTTAGATGAAATTCTCGTTGTTTAACTTGTGATATTGCGTTGTCTAGTGAAAAGGGTATAAAAGTCGAATAAAAAGCTCGGATCCAGTCTCGTTTATTGTAAAATTTAAAGCGAACGCTTAGCCCCCGAACTACTACGTTCTACTTGGCATATACGTTATACGTGGTAGAGCCACGCTGCCGGCACAGCCAGCAGTGAAGGGCCAATATAAATAAAGAAATATAAAATTAAATTAACAACTCTGGTTGATATTATATGGAACCACTCTGTGGCTGTGTTTTTCTTACATAAACAAAGCTCGAGAACTAGGTTTTTCTTTTAATTTTCAAGATTTTCATTTATACTAAATTATAGACTTTTGAGTGCTGTAGATATGTTTTTACATTTTTAATTTTTTACTTTTTCTATGAATATTATCGCTCCGATACATTCACAGCCGGATTTCCTACGGTGTCAAAATTGTACCGACGGTAGGCTGTTTAAAGGTAAAAAGGGATTAAATATACACATTAAACGATGCCATAGTAAAAGTATTTCGGCTTCACAACCTACCGTAGAAATTCACGACTCTTCTGGTAATATACCTAATGACACAAATTCTTCACTTTTTTCGGAACAATTATACAATTTGTATAGTAACGTACCAGTGGTTAAAAGAATTCCCAGAGGTGTGAGGATGCAACTTTCTAAAGCATTATCATTCACTATTCAAAATTGTCTAACGAATTGTGAAAAGAGTTGGCAAAAATTATTTATATTCGCGTATTTTTAATAAAACAATAAATAAATAAATTACGTCTCAACTTAAAGAAAATTCTTTTCAAAATTTGGATTACCCGATTAATACTCATTTCTCTCGACCTTATCCTAAATTTGATTTAAAAAAAAATAGTTGAATCAAAAGTAATGGACGACGACTTAAAAAATGCATCCCGTATTCTATTCTCAGATGACATTCTCGCTCCTCTTAATGTCGAAACTCTTGAAGGCCTTCGTCAGAAACATCCTCCGGTCAATCCTTCCCAGAATTTACCGCTGCCTCCCAATACTTCTATGCAACCTTTACAAATTTCTGAAAAAGACACTTTAGACGCAATATTGTCATTTTCGAGTTTATCAAATCGAATGTAATGGTGGGGACGATCTTGAACACGTTCGCAGACTGCCGACTTCCCGGAGCGTCGGTGCTTCACGTCAGCTATATGTTCTTTCACGCGCGTTTTCATGGATCTTTTTGTTTGACCTACGAGTATGTAAGAGAGACCACATTCACAATTTAGCTTGTACACACCTGCATCCTGTATGTCGGTTCGTCCAGTGTATGTTTTGACAAATTGTAGACCGTGCGTTGTTTACAGTTTGAGTCTATGGTCAACGGTTGTGTATCGTTCTGGCGTTGACTTGGATGTTTGGCATTTGATTTGATCGTAAATTTTTGGTATTTTTCTATTTGTTTATTTTTGCATTCATTGTATGCATGAACGTTCTTTGAACGAAATCATCCGAAGGGCTCTTGTCTCCATAAATGTCCTCTCGGTTTTAGAGCCTTGCGGGATATTTAGAGACGATGGCAGGAGACCCGACGGTTTGACTTTGGTCCCTTGGGAGAGAGGTAAAGCCCTAGTGTGGGATGCTACTTGCGTTGACACTTTGGCGGCCTCTCATCTCAAGGGTAACTATTCGAGAGCCGGGGGCGGCATCAGAGGCAGGCGAATTTAGTAAATGGCGCAAATATGAGTCTTCGAGAAATGACTACATGTTTGTGCCATTTGCTGTAGATACTATCGATCCGTGGGGTCCGCGTGCATTGAAATTTCTAAAGGAATTGTATCTACAACTGGTCGTCGCTGCTGGTGATAAGAGAGCTGGTTCTGTGGTCGTTCAAAGGCTTAGTATAGCTATTCAGCGAGGAAACGCAGCCAGTGTTCTTGACACTATACCACGGGGAGACACATCAAGACAGAGTTATGTACGGTGAATATCACACCCTTTACAAAAAATTGGTTAAAGATAGTGAGAGATATCATATATATTTTCGGATGAATGAAACTGAATTTGATGTTTTACATGACTTTATTAAAGATGACATCTACAAGAAAGGAACAAGTTATCGTGAAGCTATAAGCACAAAAGAAAGACTGGCAGTGGCTCTCAGGTAAGTACAAAACATTTTCTTTATTATCTATGCCTATTCATTATTATTATAATTAATATAATATTCTCTCAGACTTGTTTCGTCACTTTCGTTTTCAACTTCTTCATAATGTGCTACATTGTTACTTACATCTTGATGATTCATTACAAAAAAAATTGGTATTATTATTCAATGTTCGAGCTGTTTCGGAAAGTACTACATTGTCACTCATATTTTGATTACTCGTTTCATAAAATTGGGTTTTTGATGTTACAGTGTTTTTTTTTATTTAGATGCGAAGTATTTGGATATTGTATTGTTTGGTTTCGAATCACACGTAGCTGCGTCCTCAATAGTTGTTCGCGTTTTTTTAACATATTAATTTCGGCATCATGTATAAGTTTATGCATTTGAAACTTAATGTTAACTTTGTCCATCTCAGGTAATTTTTTTAATTGTTTACTCATGGACAGGAAGAAACAATCTGTTTCATCCATCTCTGACATTCTCTTTTGTCGCGCTTCTTGAGAAGATTTAATAATATTAACCATCTCTGTCACAACATTGTCTTCATTTCCTTTCTTATTTCGATTTGATGAAGAGGTTGGAGTCGGAGTCCTGTAGTGTTGGGCGGTTCGGGAAATAAATAAAACGTCCAGTAGTCTAGACTGTAGGTTTAATACTAATCCTCTCTTATTATATCCTACACAAATATATATAAGCACACACTACACGCCCATCGACAAAAAGAAAAAAAATCATTCACAAAAATATTTTTTTTTTGTAACATAACTTGGTGTATAAAAAATTAAAAAAGGTGTACACTTTTTTTTTAAATATTAAAATTCTTATACTGTAACATACTTATATCATAATAAAAAAAATCGTAAACACAGTAATTTTTAAATAATTTTATTTGTATTTATAGTAATAATAACAATTTTATTGATTTATGTATATAGTCTAGTGCGATTTTTATGTATAGACTTATGTTTACCTTTGTAATCTATTGTTACATTTGGTTCACAATCTTCGATAACCTTAAATGGTCCTATATAAAGAGGATCAAATTTGTTTACACATTGTTCATTCTTAAGGAGTATCATATCACCGACATTATATTTAATTGGATTGGTATAGTAATCATATTTAGTTTTCCTACTTTGTTTGCTTAAAATTAAATTATTTCTTGCATCATATTGCGATTTTTGAAGTCTATATCTAAGTTGTTGTGGATAATCATATGGGTTATATAAGGGGTCTATATCTAAAGTTAAATTAGTTGGCAAACGGCAAAGCTTCCCAAAAACAAGCTCATATGGAGTATACTTGGTTTCCGTGTGTACAGTGTTATTATAACCAAAACACCAATACGGTAACCAAGTGCTCCAGTTATGTGGTTCATTACCCGTTTGAATTCTTAGAAATGACATCAGATTTTTGTGGCTGTTTTCTAAGGAACCTATGGATTGGTGATGATATGCTGTTGACGTTACCTGTTGAATATTGAGAATACGGCACACATCTTTCATGACGGTTGAAACAAATTCAGTCCCTTGGTCAGATATTATTTGTCGAGGAATACCATATCTCAAAATAAAATTATTGATAAAAGAGGATGCCACCGAAATGGTATCCTTATGTTTAAGCGGATAGGCTTCAACATACTTACTTAAATCACACTGTAGTGTGAGTATATAAACATTACTATCGCTATCTTTACATAAGGGCCCTACTAAATCTAAATAAATTCTATCAAAAGCAGAATATCCCGTATCGGTTATAACCATTGGTTCTTTTTATATGCTTATTTAAGTGCTTATATCGCAAACACTTGTCACATTGGTTTACGTAATTAGTCACATCCTTCTCTAACCCGGGCCAAAAAAATCTTTTTCTTTATATTGTTTATCATTCGCCTTATACCGGCGTGACCACTAGTTGGCAATAAATGATAGTCGTTTAATATTATGCGTTTTGTCTCACGATCGTCGACTTTATGGACACCATTTAAAATTAATATTCGCGGTCCGGACCTATTTGGTGTCTCATTTATAATACGAGTTAACTCCTTAATTAATATATTGTTATTATTATTTTGTATAATATACAGACGATCTATCTTTCGCTTATTACAAAAGCAATCCAACTCCCTCACAAAGGCATCTCGTGCACAATATGATCGGAAAGAAGGATTTACATAAATTGTTGACTTTGCTGAGACAAAACAAAATAACTTAGAGTTAGAATAGAACTTTTCTTTCACTCTGTCTATCTTTTTCCATTCTTTTTCGTCTACAAATAATAATTCAGTGCAATCCTTCGGTTGTTTAAGTGTTCCCACGACTTTTGGGTGATCAGTCCAATCGTTGGTGGTAACCTTATCCGCCGTAGGGTTGTCACTCTTATCTTGCACATTTTTTTTTATTTATTCGCTTTCTTTGCGCTCTTGTTAGAACAGATATGACCTTTTCATTCATTTCTTTCAAATCTTCACTCGAAATTTGGATGCGTGACAATGCATCTGCAGCTGCATTGTCAGCTCCCCTTACATACTTGATAACAAACTTATACTCCTCGAGCAATAACCTAACTTCGTAAGTCTACTTGACGGATTTGTCATGTTGAATAAATATACGAGAGGCTTATGATCCGTTTCAATAATGAATTCGCGTCCATATAAATAAGGTTGAAAGTATTTTACTGCCCATACTATCGATAATAATTCCTTTTCGATAGTAGGATAGTTTTTCTCGGCTTTGTTTAAAGTGCGGCTAGCACATGCAACCGGTCGTCCGTCATGATTACATAAAACGGAGCCTATAGCAAAACTAGACGCGTCAGTTTTTTAAAATAAAATTTTGGTCAAAATTTGGATACTGAAGTATGGGAGGAGTCGTTAAAGCATTTTTAAGCGTTGAAAAAGATAGTTTACAGTTTTTATTCCAATGAAATTTAACATTTTTGCGACATAAATTGTTCAGAGGTAAAACGATTTCAGAAAATTTTGGTATAAATCTTCGATAGTAATTCGCAAACGCTACTAGCCTTTTTACATCGTTGGTATTTTGAGGAATTGGGTAATTTTGTAATGCTGATATCTTTTTTGGGTCAGGCTTAATACCTTCGGAAGAAACAACGTGGCCAAGATAAAGAAGTTCTTTTTTTAGAAAAACACATTTTTTCGGGTTTAACTTTAAGTTTACTTTTCTTAAGCGCGATAATATTTCCATTAAATTTTTGTTGTGGTTATCTAAGTTTCTGCCAAAACAAATGAGGTCGTCTAAATAAGTGAGCGCTTTTTCGTAATTTAAACCAGCCATGGATATTGTAATAGCACGAGAAAAGGAACTTGGGCTTGTCTTTAAGCCCATTGGCATTCTGGTCATCTGATATTGACCAGAGGGTGTAGTGAAAGCCGTATACCTTCTACTAGATGGATTAAGGCTTAATTGGTAAAAAGCTTGATTGAGATCAAGGTGGGTAAAATACATTGCTCCTGATAAAGAATCTAATATGTCTGTAATATTGGGTAACGGAAATTTGTCATCTACAATACAGTTGTTTAATTTTTCGAAAATCGATAACCAAGCGCCAGCTCCTGTCCTCACCATTTTCTGGCTTTTTGGGTACAAGAAGTACAGGACTTGACCACTCACTACAAGTTGGTTCAATAATTCCGTCTTGTAACATATTTTTGACTTGTGTTTCTATTTCGTTCCTCTGAGAATAGGGTAATCGATACTGTTTTACATACACTGGGTCAATATTAGGTTTTAACTGAATATTATGTTCATATAAATTACAAGTTGTTAATTGATCACCTGGCAATAAAAATACGTCGGAAAATTTTGCACAAATATGTATAATAGAAGATTTTTCCTCTTTATTTAAATGATCCAAATTTAGTAAATTTAACATTTTATGAACGCGTTCGGAATTAATGAGACTTTTATCAAACTTACAAATTGAATAATTATGTAAACTATCGGTTTCAGGCCTAAAATAACTAAGATTGACCTGATCCTCCCGTGTATTTAATATTTTTATTGGTATTTTCCCGTTATTCGCTTTGACAATTCCACCAGACAGAAAAACTCCCTCGCATAACTCTTTCGGAAAGACAACACAATCTTCTTTCATACTCGCATTGATATAAAATAAATTCTCGCATCTCGGAGGAATACTCAAATAATTATTATTTCCCAAAATACCCATATGCAATGGTAAAGTTACTAATTCATTCATATTATGCAGTGTAATATTATTCAATTCGAAATTTATGCTACAATTAAACTTACGTAAAAAAATCTATACCTAAAATTCCAGAAGTTTCACACGGCAACTGCTTTATAACATGAAACTTATTATTAAATTTCAGTCCGTTAACAGACAATGTTAAATCAACAAATCCCACGGTTCGTAATTTGCCTCCGATTCCGTTTATTGTAATCGGTTTCTTTTGTAATGAAAGGTTTAGTTTACTAAGCGTGTCATATTTAATCACACATAGGGAAGCGCCGGTATCTACGAGCCATCTACATTTGATACCATCTATTGCTAGCTCAACACAATTACTATATTCGCAACTAAATATACTATTGGTCTCGAAAAAATTCTAAGTTATTTTCATTATTATCGTTATTAGGGTTAATTTCAATATTTTGAGAACTTTGCGATACGCGATATTCTGGTGTTATAAAATGAACTCGCTGGGCATTTTGTCCACGAAAAAATGGTATGAGTACTCACTATAATTACCTTTTTTTCCGCGGTGTTGTTGATTTCCACGCGAAAACTTTTGGGGTACCGGTTTCCTCCAGTTCACGTTATTTTTTGCTTGGGTATGCAAAGGGTATGTTTGCCGTGGTACATTATTGGATGTATACCTACCACGTAAATTTTTTCGCCTTCCTGAACCACCTCGATTCCCGAAATAAATCGATGGTTCGGTGTACTCGCTAGGTCGAACACAAGACGCCTCCTCATCCTTTGCAGCTCTAATTGTTTCTTTTAACGTACTATAATTACGTGCTGACAAAATAATACTGAGTTGTCGATTTCGCAAGCCATTTGTGAAACTTTTAATAGCGATCTTTTCATTTATAGGACGTAAAATTTTATGCGCGTTTTGGTCACCATCGGCTTGGGAAATCGTCAAATCTACGAATAATTGTTCGATTTTATTGCCATAATTATCTAGGGAACTACTATTTTGCCTTATTTGCATTAGTTCGTTATGAATGGAAGTGCAAGATTTCTTTGTTAAAAGGTGGTTCCGCATATCACTTATAAGCGCCTCGCATGAGTCATAGGAATCTAATAGGCGTAACTTAGCGCCTTCATTCAAACGAGTCTTTAACACAAATTTTATTAACATAGACTTACCTTCTTCTTTTAGCGAAGAGCTATATAACTCTATCGAGTCCATCAAGGTTTTGGTGACCGATTCCTCGCCCGTCATCACTGGCAGGAGTGACACAGCGGTTTTAAAGTCGAAACTTTCCATGGTGAATATTTCGCTTTGAATAGTGCCCTTGGAAGTTGATTGAGAGCTGTAATCCTTACTACAAAAGTTTTCTATTTGTACATATAAACCCTTAATTAAATCGCAATATGATTGTATTTCAATTAGTGCCTTACTTTTAATTTGTTTACTTTCTATCTCTTTATTTAAAATTATCAAACAATTATCAAATTCTTTACGTAATTGTACTGATTCCTTAAATTTTTGTTGCAAAATGCTTTTAGTTCGCTTATCATAACTTAATTTAACTAAATTATTTTTAATATTTTTAAATTTTTCATATATTATTATTATTTCACTAGACATGGAAATACAGTTAAAAAAAAATCGTTATCAAAACATTTTAAGGTGTATACATATAAGGCTATTTTTATTTTTTTTTTTAAACTTAAACTATAACATATTTTTCAATTTAAACCTCATATCTTCAACTTGACGCATTCGTTGTCTCACGGCGGTCCTCGTGGCGGCATTCACAGCATGCACGGGGTACACGAGGTCCTGGGTCCGGTGACCGCACAAAAGAACGACGCAAGTTGTGCATTACCATCTCATTCCGCATCCAGCTTGTATGGCAACTTTTGTATATTTTGTATACACCGTAGAGAAGAGCCAAGCCCAAAACTGTGCATATTATAATCAGCACGACGGATATCCCAGATAAGTGGCTTTTAATTTCTTCTACATGTGCAGAATTTGAGCCTCCTGAAGTGTCTTGCGTAATGAACACTTGGTCTTTCTTGAGTTCAGAACGACACATTTTTTTTTTAATATAAGTTCAATATTATTTATTATTCATTTTTGTACTTAATTTGAATTCCACATATTTTTGAACGCGGCCCGCGACCGAACCCAGGCAGACCGCCGATGAACTGGCAGGGTCGCCATGTAGTGTTGGGCGGTTCGGGAAATAAATAAAACGTCCAGTAGTCTAGACTGTAGGTTTAATACTAATCCTCTCTTATTATATCCTACACAAATATATATAAGCACACACTACAGTCCTTACAGAAGAAGAGCTTGGTGTCGGTGTCCTGACAGTAAAAGAGCTTGGACCAGGAGTTGCATTAAAAAGAGATGATTCGGTTTCATCTGAAAATTGCAACTTTTGTGTTGAATCGTCAGATACATCAGACAAGTTTGTGATCGTTGGTCTGCCCTCAAGATGAGACCTTAAAAATTCCATCTGTGCTTCGTATTTCCATGGTACAATTTTAGTTGGGGCTTGACCACTTTTCTTATGGCGTCTTTTAGGGGCATTGGTAAAACAATTTCTCAATTTTCCCCATCGATCTTTGCAAATCTCCGCTGGAAAAAAATAAAGAACACAATAATAAATTTATAATTGTAATTTTTTCTTTTGTTGCAGATTTTTAGCCACAGGGAATTCATTTCGATCATTGGCATTCAATTATAGAATGGGATTCACCACCGTGCGAGAAATTGTAAAAGATGTCTGCGAAGCAATTTGGAACAAATTGGGCCCAATATACATGCCAGAACCCACCACCGCGATGTGGAAATAATCTGAAGAAGGGTTCAGAAATTGCTGGAATTTTCCTATTTGTTGTGTTACATTGGACGGCAAACATGTGAATATCACTTGTCCAATAAATGGTGGTTTAGATTTTTAGAATTATAAAGGAGAAAATTCAATAGTACTCCTGGCATTCATCATCATCATCATCATTACAGCCCTTCACAAGTCCACTGCTGAACATAGGCCTCCCCAAGTAATGCCACAAAGCACGGTCCTGAGCCACCTGCATCCATCGACTTCCTGCATGTCTTACCAGGTCGTCACTCCATCTAGTGGGGGTCGCCCTACACTACGCCTACCGGTACGAGGCTGCCACTCGAGAACCTTTCTTCCCCATCGGTTATCGGTTCTTCGAGCTATATGGCCGGCCCATTGCCACTTCAGCTTACTAATCCGTTGGGCTATATCGGTCACTCTGGTTTTACTACGGATATCCTCATTTCTGAGTCTATCACGCAGAGAAACTCCGAGCATAGCCCTCTCCATAGCTCGCTGAGCGACCTTAAGCGTCCTCATACGGCCAGCAGTGAAGGACCACGTCTCAGATCCGTAAGTCATCACTGGCAACACGCACTGGTTGTTCAATCTAGTTTTTAGAGATTGAGGTATACCTGACGAAAAGATATGCCGTAATTTCCCGAACGCTGCCCAGCCGAGTTGAATCCGTCGATTGACCTCTCGGTCGAAGTTGGACTTACCTAGTCGGACTATTTGTCCCAGGTAAACGTATTCGTCAACAACTTCGAGCATAGTGCTCCAAACAACTACCGGCATAGGTGTGACATGGACATTGAACATGATCTTTGTTTTGTCCATGTTCATCTTAAGACCTATCCGTTGGGAGGCACTATTGAGGTCATTGAGCATAGTGCTTAAGTCCTCCAGCGATTCTGCCATAAGGACTATATCGTCGGCAAATCGAAGGTGAGTGATGTACTCGCCATTGATGTCAATACTGTATCCTTTCCAGTCCAGTAGCTTGAAAACGTCTTCCAATGCAGCGGTGAAGAGTTTCGGGGATATAACGTCACCCTGTCTTACACCTCTCTGCAGTTGGATAGGTTTCGAGCTCTGGTTCTGTACTCGGATAGCCATCGTAGCCCTACTGTACAAACACTTCAGCACTTCAATATACCGACAGTCAACTTGGCACCGCTGAAGGGACTGTAGCACCGCCCAAATTTCGACGGAATCAAAGGCTTTCTCATAGTCCACATACGCCAGGTAAAGTGGCAGATTGTACTCTTCAGTCTTCTGTACAATCTGCCGCAGGGTATGTATGTGGTCTATGGTACTGAAGCCTTTTCGGAAACCGGCTTGTTCGGGAGGCTGGAAGTCGTCAAGTCTGCGTGCAAGACGATTCGTAATGACTCTCGAAAACAGCACGTAGACGCGGCTCAGAAGGGAAATCGGTCTGTAGTTCTTTAAGAGAGCGTTGTCGCCTTTCTTAAAGAACAAGACCACCGCACTTCTGCTCCACGCCTCTGGAGTAGTGCCACCATGGAGGACGGAATTGAAGAGCTTCTGAAGGACTTCAAGTACCGGTGTTCCACCCGCTTTCAGAAGCTCCGCTGTAATTCCATCCTCGCCTGGGGCCCTGCCGTTTTTAAGGTGCTGGAGAGCCATTCTAATCTCGCTTAGACTGACGTCCGGGATATCATCGGAATAGTGTCGGATAAGACTTGCTCTTGGATCGTTACTCACACTTGCGTGTGACTCCAACGATGATGTGTACAGCTGCCCATAGAACCTCTCAATCTCACTCAAAATCTCAGGTGTCCCGGAAACGATGTTGCCACACTCAGTCTTCAGCCTCGACAGTTGGCTCTTTCTGGCAGACAGATCTCTGGCAAAGACTTTGGAGCCCTGGTTCCGCTCGATCGCTTCTTTAATACGAGAAGTATTAAAGTTGCGTAACTCTCGCCGTATGCATTTGGAGATCTGTCTGTTCAGTTGCCTGTATGCTGTCAAATCTGTTGACGATTGCAGCCTCATCTCCCGTCTAGCAGCCATGAGATTAAGAGTGTGATCGGAGAGTTTTTTGTGTTCTTCTGCGGCGGGTCTTGCAGAACTTAGCTCCGACCGCATGGACAGTTTCCACGAGCTTGTCGTTCATATCGTCCACTGCATTGCAATCTTCTAGGCACTGGAAGCGGTTACATAACTCGAGCTGAAAGGTTTCGGGATTCTGGATTAGAGCACGAGGGGGACGAGCGTTGACTTCATTAGACGAGACCTCTCCAACTTAACGTTTAGGTTCAGTGTGCCTCTAACCATTCGGTGATCGCTGCCAGTTTTCACCCTTGCGATCACTGAGACATCACTGAACAGTTGGCGTCTGGTCGTCATAATGAAGTCAATCTCATTTTTTGTCGAACCGTCGGGGCACGACCAGGTCCACTTCCTGTGGGGCCGCTTCTGGAAGAAAGAGTTCATCATAAAGAGTCCCTCTTTCTCCATAAAGTCGGCCAGCTGCTGGCCCCTTCGGTTCCGTTGCCCTACTCCAAATTTCCCTACCTTCAGCTCACCGCTTTCTCTTGTGCCCAGTTTTGCGTTGAAGTCTCCCATCAACACCGTGTAGTAGGTTTTGGAGGAATGTATGGCTCTGGAAATATCCTCATACATTTCCTCCACCTCCTCATCGGGATGTGCCGAGGTTGGTGCGTAAACCTGAATGACCTTCAGCGAATACCGTTTGGTGATTCTGAGTATCAGGTACGCGACCCTCGTCGACACACTCCCAATCTTTACAACGTTGTTGACGAGAGATTTGTGGACGATAAATCCGACACCTCCTTGGGACAGATGGTCGCCCTCCCGGTGATAGAACAAGTTGCCGGACTCGAGGATTGCCGTGTCCTCCCCCTCTCTTCGGACCTCGGATAATCCAATAATATGCCAGCGCAACTTGTCTACCTCTTCTTCCAGCTCCAGTATCTTCTCGTCAGTCCTCAGGGTGCGTGCGTTATATGTTGCCAGGTCGAGTCGTAGTAGGTGGCAACCGAACCTCCACCGGAGATTCTTAGCACCCCCTGCCCCGCCGTTACCATGGTCGCCACCGTAGCCAGGAATAGCGGGGCCGCCGGGGACTGGGGGCCGTCTGTTTGTATATTTATTCATTGGGGGGTATTTGCCATAGTTGCCACGCTTGGCGAGCGGGTTGGCAACCGCAGTTTTTTATTACGTCACAGTTGTCATCAGGAAGACGCTGCTGCCCATCTCCTGCCTGTCTCCCTCTGTCGCCTCTTACGACACCCACGGGAAGATATGGGGTAGTGGATATTCTTAACCGCCACTACACTGCATAGTGGATCCTAAATACAAGTTCTTGGTTGTAGATGTAGGCTCATATGGAAAAGACAGTGACGGTGGAATATTCAATAAATCTGCACTTGGAGAGTCTTTAGAACAAGGCAAATTAAGAATGCCTGCTGATAAATCTTTATCTCCTGATTTGGAACCATTACCACACGTAATAGTGGCAGATGAAGCTTTTCCCTTGAAGTCGTATTTAATGCGGAACCCAATAAAATATACAACTACCGGCTAAGCCGTGCTAGACGTATCGTTGAAAATTTTTTCGCTATTTCAAGAGCAATATGGCGCGTTTTCGCCAAACCTATGGAAGTACCCTGATATGGTGGACAAAATTATTTTAGCAACATGTTGCTTACACAATTATTTAGGTATTGATACTTTGCCACCTGACCGTCAAACACAAGATGATAATTAGACGCCATTGGGACCTACAGCTTTGGAGGACTTTGACACCTTACGCATAAATTCTACACAACATGCTTTTTCTGTCCGAAATAAATTTAAGGAATATTTTAATTCCAACGAAGGTGCAGTTCCGTGGCAAGTAGATATTGTAAGGAGGGGAAGACAAAATACTTTGTAAATCTGTGTTAAAGTGTATTTTATAATAAATTGAATTGAATAGCAGCTTTCTATTAATTTCAACTCCTCGACGCGTTGCTGAGAAAAAGGGTCTTGAAAAACAGACGGACGGACAGACAGACGGACAAACAAAGTGATCTTATAAGGGTTCCTGTTTTCCTTTAAAGGTACGGAACCCTAAAATCAAGCAGTTACTTACTAATAAATGTATTAATAAGCTACCTATTTTTATGATAAATAGAAACTGTATAGGTACTGATAGAAAGTAGGTAAGTAAATGGGACAAATTACATTTTATTGTAAACTTACCTGTAGTATGCAATTGTTCTACAATTTCTTCCCAAGTATTATTTCGAATACTATGATACGATTGGTGGAGCCACGTGTTTAAGGCTGCCGAAAATCTAGTTCCCCGGTCAAACCTCAAACCTATTACGCGAGATATTAACTAAAGTGGACTGTATATGCGATTGCTTCTACGCTTACATAAGGCGACTACTATAGCATGCGGTACAATGCACTCGCTCTTCCCTAAACTAAACTATTACTTGTCGAATCGATGAAAGGAATCCTGCTTGACTAGGAAAAAAACACAGATTGGAGCGGGTTAAATTATTAGCAAGCAGGTATAATTAAGGAGTATTGACTCACCGGGGTTTCTTCTTCCTGTCGATCACTATAGCGGCGACTTCCGGAACCTCCTCTGGACAGACACTTCTGGGGCCCCAGTGGTGCGTCAGGAGAGAAGAGTTGGTTCAACGACGACTGCGGCGGGAGAAGAGGCTCGCGCATCGGTCGCGCGTGTCTTATATATCCTCGGCTCGGGTGATTACGCGATGTTCTAGAATCGTCTTCTTTCCCCTCCCACCCCACCACCCCGATGTGTCGATAGGAGGGTACGAATGATATTGTTTGGAAAGGAAATAATGATTCTACAAGTTCCTACCGTCAAAAATAAAAAACGCGAATGGTTTTCCGCGCAACCATCTCCCCCGCCCTTGAAGGATTTCCTTCAAAAAAAAATAACTAAACAACTAGAGCTAAGATCGACTAACAAATAACTAACTAACGCTAAGATTACCTAAA